GGGATTAGAACTGAAGTGAGTGAGATAGATACCCATAGGCTGGGCTGCGCTGCGCTGCGTGGTATAGTATTATAGATTAGACGTAGATGTAATTACAACTGAGATCGGGACTGTGACTATGATTGTGATTATGACTGTGATTATGATTGTGGTTACAAGATAAAGAAGAAGCGGAGAAGAGGTAGAGGGAAGGAAGCGAGTGAGTGAGTGAGTGTATGGTATGGTATGGTATGGTATGGTATGCTTTTCTGGCTTGGGCTCTCTTCTTTGGCTCTGCGCTTGAACTGAGTACCTATATAAGTGAAGTAGAATAGAGTGAAGTAAAGTAAATGTACTTCCTCAGCCTTTTGCCTCCTGCTTCTTGCATGTATGAAAGAAAGACGTTTACTTATTTACTTATTTACTTATCTGTCTGTCTACCTCCAGGGGTCTTTGAAAGAGGAGAGGAACGAGTTTTTTGTCTTGTGTTTTGTTCCCGAGTGGGGAGGTTGTTGATGGCTGGCTCTATTGTTATGCTCGGTGACTTGCGATGGGTAATGAATGCATGGAGGTTGATAAGAGGCTGGTTTCGGTTTCACGATCGAAGGTCTGTCTGATATTTTTTTAAGAGAGAGACAGAGAGCTTCTGTTTTTTTTTTTTTTTTTTTTTTTTTTGATATGATAAGCGTGCTTTAAGAGATGCATGGAGGGGGAGAAAGAAAAAAAAAATATGATGAACTTTCTAGGAAGTGAGAATGGCTTATGACTAGAGGACGGTTTTATTTAATATGATTTTTGATCGATACAGAGAGAGAGAGAGAGTTAACTAATTACGTAAAGCAGAGAGAAAGAAGGTACGGTACGGTACGGTACGGTACGGTACAGTACAGTATCGGGAGTTATTTGGCTTTGCGCTTACCTAATATTTAGAGTTAGCAGTCGAAAGGATGCGGAGTAAAAGAAAGAAGAAGAAAAGGGGGGAGGGGGGCGCGGATCTTAGCTCTTACTACGTACCTTACCTTACTGGGAAAGGCAGGTTAAGGGAGATCGTTTCAGCGATCCTCTCTGACCTTCTTTTACAAAAGACGGTCCAATAGGTATTGGGCCGTTTATAATCAAGACTAGTTCCAAACCAAGAATAGTTTTACTTTCTTGACCGTCCTCGAGCTTTAGGCCGTTTTATAGCCGTTTAACAGCCGTCATCGTTTAGTTTTTTTTGAAATACGTTTATTAAGGAATTCAGTTTAAACAGGCCAAGGGCTAAAGTATTTGCTTATTAATCTAAGTTCTCGAAGACGGTTTAAGGTTCGGGGACGGCCTTAGGAGGGCTATAGGACGGTGTTAAATCAGACTTAAAAAGATCGGGGACGGTCTTTTGACGGGAAGACGAGCTTTAGTATCGGCCTAAGGTGATCTACTAACTATGCCAACCTCTTAGGACCGTTTTTGAAAGAGATGGTGATTGGATTGTCAGCTGACGGTTTAAACAAACCCCTTACCGGCCTTTAAGGAATGCATCTACTAGTAGGTCTGTGAAATAAGCAGAAGATTTAAGCTTGGTGATCGAATTAACTCGTCCTCCGAAGGTGGGATTCATGAACTTTGGCAAATGTGGGGGGTGGGGGGGATTTCGAAGTGTTGGTTGACTCTTAGTTTTGGTGCGAGAAGGGGGTGTGTGCATTTTGACATCGTTAGGATTTGGCTTCCTTTTTTGGGTTTTGGGATTGATGAGGATTGTGAAGGAGAGGGTGAGTGGGTGAGTAGGCGAGTGAGTAGATTACTACTATATTAGTTATAGCAGAGAGGGAATATAATGCGATGGGTTAGGATGGGAGGGCAGGGGATGGGTAGAGTTTTAAGATTAAGATAGAGAATATAAATGGGAAAAAACAAATTAAATGAGTTTGAATGGTATCTTTCTACAAAGCATGTTCATACATGATTCATAGCTCAACTCCCACCTGGCAAACAACAACAACAGCTCTTCAGCACCCGATGCGTTTTTTTTTCTCACAGCTCAGTCCAGCTCTTGCTCTCCCCAAGCACCACCAAGCTCTCCTTGTGAAGGCCGGCCCCCTCGGCAGAAACACCGCCCTGCGCGAGAGCAATCCTGTCGCCGTCGTCATCCATCAGCAGCGCCGCAGCCGAGACGAACGGCGCCCCGAGGATACAGCCGCCCATCTCCCAATTGAGCAGGCAGACGCCGCGATCGTTGTACGGATCGATGCGTCCCCGGGCGTAGTTCCGCACGGGCATGACGATCTCGATGCTCTCGCCCTCGCGCACGCCCGCGAACGTGTAAGTGACGTTCAGCCCGGCGGGGATATCCTCGCACGTACCGTTGAAGGCCACGATGCCGTTGTAGTCGACCAGTTGGCCGGCGGAGGCGGCGTAGAACTGCGATTCCAGATCGCCGGTGTAGTCGAAAGGAAGAGCGTCGCCGTGAGCGCCCGAGTCGATTAGGCAGGTGGTGGTCTGGTCCGGGGTGAAGGTCTGCCCGTTGAGGGTGATGTTGGGCTTGGCAACGTAGATGCCCACCTGAGATGCGTGGTCGACGACGTTGGGAACTTCGACGAGCGGGCCCGTGTATTTCGATACGTCGACGGCGCCAAAGAGGATGCCGCCGAGGAGGTCTCCCAGGGTGCCCGTGTGCTTGTCGAACCAGAGGAACATGGTTTGGGCGGCGACTTGGCCGGTCTTGAAGAGGTTCTGGCGGAACGAGGGACCGACTGTGTTGTTGGTGTAGGGGCTATGGAGAGGTATCAGTAATTGCGTAGTACCGTGGTTCTGATCAGGGCTTCACTTACGACAGGCCCAAAATACTTTTGTCATAAGGCGTAGGTAGGCATGAGCCATCTTCAGCCAGTTAGTATCAGCATCTTGGTATGTAGGAACATTCATGATTCAACATCACGAAGGCAAGAGAAGCAGAGCAGAATCGGACATACTATCAGCCAATTTCAAGAGTCCGTACGTCTGGAGCGAGAACCTGGTAGAGAGGAAAGTCAGCCAAAGCTCGTTCTTGAGTATATGGGAGTGAGGGGGCAGGTTGGTCACGAGGTCAGAATTCATGGATTGGCTATGGCTGAGTTCACTTACTGGATGTTGGATATTGGGCCAGTGCCTCCGGGTGCGGTGATAGTATCAGTAGCCCATTGCTCGCCCGAGACGATCTTGGAGTTGCCGGCGTAGGCGTAGGCGGATGTCTGGTTGATAAGCGAGGAAGTGGGTGAGAGGGCTGGGTCGTAGAGAGTCTCGACGGTCTCATTACAAGGTCCTACGACACCAAAGTACGGGGAACCCCAATGGACCACCGCGCCTGGAGCCCATACCTATGTTTGTGATTGTCAATATCTGTTTTGGTTGATGATGGTGACTTGTATTTGTGACTTGACTATGTGACTGGGAAAGGACATGAGAATGACAACGTACCCAGAAATTTGCACTCCCGGAATCCATCACCACCTTGACAGGCTCCGCTGAAGCAGCGGTGCCAAAGGTCAAGTTGGCAGTCACCCTCGAATCGAGGTCATACTCAAACTCTACGGGCATATAATGATACAGAGCGCTCTCAGCTGCGAGGACTCCGCCGGCCACGCTGGACATAACGAGAGTAGATAGCGAAGACCGCATGGTGAACGAGAGGTAGGAGGAATAGATTAATGCTCGCAGGGGGAAGCTGGAGACACGAGCGAGGGATCTCATACCTTATAAGTACACGGAGATATGCCTGGGAAGTTTAGGGTAACCCATAGCTCATAGGTCAAAGAAAAAAAGATGCAACGCAGCCTCCCCATGTGACATGGAGTTGCCGTTTGTCCTTTATCATGCCTGTCAATACAGTAATAATTTACTACGTATCCTGTGTACCAGGTAAACAAGCTTCTGCAATCTTCTGCCGACAAGGGCTGGCCGGCAAGTTTGATCGCGCCCAACAGTGTCAAGATACGAGAAAAGCTTGGTAGGATGGATTGCCGACGCTACCGTACCGCCAACAGTCCCCGTATTCCGATTCTGATTGTGGTTGTGGTAGTTCTGGTTCTAATTCCGCATGAATCTGGAAGGGGATCGAAAAAACAACAACAGGGAGGGCATAAAGCAAATACTAATCTCCGGGGTCAAAGGGAATCTGGGGTAGAGCTTCTGGGACCTGGAGGGCTCCCTCTGGTGGCCTGGCATTATTGCCTTGTTGGCATGCCTTGTCTTTGCCTTTTCCGCTCTACTTATTAATTTTCACTTTAGTTTTTCACTTTAGTGTTCCTCTTTACGTACTGGTAGTGTTTCTCTTAAGTTTCTCTCCTTAGGGATTCTCTTTAGTTTTCTCATTTGTTTTTCTCCTAACTGTAGAAGCCCTGTCCTTGGGCCCAGCTCGTGTTGTTGATCAAAGTTTCGAAGTTACTACGTAGTGGATAATGTCGAGGAGCTACAACACGAAGCGCACCAATCACCATCTGCCGTTGTGTTCTAGAGTGTAGTTTTACGTAGTAGTACTGCGTACCGTATTTTGGTATTTATTTTTGTCTTATCCGGTGATCCACATGAGCGCCGATACTACTAGATCCCAACGCCATCCTCCCGGCTGAGCGCTTCAATTGTTTATCCGATCAATTAATCTACAGCTATACGCTTCGGTTTTCAACAATACATACTACCATACAACTATATGCTTTAAACGCGAGAGTCCGTCCATTCTACTTCCAGCTATCGGTGTGCTTGCTCAATCCTACTTCTACGATTCAGTATGTTGCTTCGCGGCCAATATAGTAGTAGTACGTAGTAGCCAACCCCCTCGAGACCGGGCGAGACCGGGGTCATTTCGCCACGAAAGAGAAGCAACCGAGAAGGTTGACAAGCACCGAAAGGTGGAGTCGGAGGACTGGGAAGCTTTGCGCTTTGCGCTTTGCCCTCTACCATTAACCTTTACCCTCCTTCAATTCGCTAGCATGATTGGCCGTTGTCGGTGTCACCGGATTGTCCCTTGCGGACAACCACAGAATACGTACCGGTAGTACTTTTACTCCACTCATAAGGCACATTTTATACTTTCGGGCATGGGATCGTCGGTCCGTATATCAGGGGTATGTATACGGAGTTCGTATGTACGAAGTACCGGTAGGTAGATATATCGCGGCTTTCCTCTTCCCAGTTAACATGTCTCCCTCATTCGACATCGTCACCCATTGTATATTCTCTGGTTACCCCAAGAGCCGTTGGCCAAGATGCTTCTCCCTCGCTTCATCCTGCCCTCGGCACTCCTCTCTCTGGCCTATGCTACTCCAACACTCGTCGGGAACCAAGATGCGTATGGACACTACCAGGTTATGGAGACAGTGGAGATCCCAGACGGATATTCGTATCAAGGGCCGGCCGATCCAGACACGATTCTCAACTTGCGTCTCATTGTCAAGTCTGCAGGAGCATCGCAGCTGTCCGATAAGCTTGATCAAATCAGCAATCCTACGCACGCAGATTATGGAAAGCATCTGAGCCAAGAGCAGCTGGCTTCCATCACCGAGCCTGAAGCTGGCACTGTTGATCTGCTCACTTCGGTAAGCACAATCCCTCCACCCAAAGCCATAGTCACTGGTATTTCCAGCTTCGATACTAATGCTCCACAGTGGCTCGCTGCTTTCTCTGGCGTCTCAGGAGTTAGCCACGCTCGCCATGCTAGTGCAATATCGTTCAAGTCGACCGTTGCAGCGGCAAATTTGATGTTGGCTGCCAATTTTGGCATCTTCCAGGTCACCAACGGCGATGACAGTATCGTCCGCTCTCTGCATTACTCTCTTCCCGAGTACCTAACCCAGCACGTCGGGTTGATCCACCCCATCACCTTCTTTCCCAAGCCCAGTGCCATCAACGCCAGCCCAACTGCAAAGCGAGCCCCCGAGCTCGTCAACTCCTACCACGTCTCCCGTCGTGACGCAGACCCTGAGCTCTTGGCCGCATGTACATCCATTTATCCTAGTTGCATAGCCAAATTGTACAACATCGATTACACGCCTCCAGTAGACGAAAGACTTAGTGGTTCCAGTCTCGGCGTCGTAGGTTTCCTCGAGCAGACCATTTTGCAATCCGATGTCACCGATTTCGTCAGGAAATACGGAATTGCGGCCTCAACTCGTGCCAACCCGGGGAATTTTACAGTGGAGCTGGTCAACGGCGGCACCAACATTGCAGAGTTTCCTGGGGCCGAAGCAACACTGGATATGCAATATAGCATGTCTTTCACCGGCAACCTTCCCGTAGTGTTCTACTCAGTTGGCGGCCGCGCCCCAACTCTCGATGCCAACGGCGATCTTCGCCCAGCCGGCACGGGTGTCAACGAGCCCTACCTCGAATGGCTCGAGTACATGCTCGCTAAGCCCGACGGTTCCATTCCGCAAGTCCTCACTATCTCCTACACCGATACCGAGCAGGGTGTTCCTCGCTCCTACGCTACTCACGTCTGCGATCTCTTTGGCCGTCTTGCCGCACGAGGCGTCTCTATCATTGACGCCTCCGGAGACGGCGGTATCGCCGGCCAAGAAGACTTCGACTGCGTAACCAATGACGCAGAGAAGAAACCGACGTTCCTGCCCACCTTTCCAGCCTCATGCCCGTATGTCACCGCCGTCGGCGCAACGTCCGGCATCCCGGCATACGGGTCCGCTTTCTCCTCGGGCGGCTTCTCAAATTACTTCGAGGTCCCCGCCTACCAAAAGAATGCCACTGCCTCCTACATCTCGTACCTCGACGGGCAGTACGACGGCCTGTACAACGCGTCCGGGCGCGGTATCCCGGACGTCGCTATCTCCGGCTCGCGCTACCAGACCGAGAACAACAACGTGTCATCGGGATTCCATCCAGGCACGAGCGGTGGCACAGCGGTGTTCGGGAGCATGATTGCGCTGGTCAACGACGCGAGGCTCCGAGCTGGCAAGCCGGTCCTGGGCTGGCTGAACCCGACGCTGTATGCGGCGCAGACGAGTTCTGTGTGGAACGATATCCAGACCGGGAACAGCTATGGGTGTGGCCTGGTGTTCAACGCGACGGAGGGCTGGGATACGATTACCGGGCTGGGGACTCCGGATTTTGCGCGCTTGATGAAAGTTTTGGGTTGAGTTTATCACCAAATCAAAATAGGGCTGGAGTATTGGCGCTAGGTAGGCATAGACACAAAGTGACGAAAGACATACTCTGTAGTGAAAGAGATAGATGTAGATAACAGTCAAAGTAATTTATAATCCGTAATCTCTTTCCTAGCTTTCGTAGCCACCATGCCCAACCTGGAGGAAATCCTCGCTTCTTGGATTTCCTGTCCTGTAACCAGATATAAGCATGATACTTGATGCTCAAATGGTGCCCCGCAAAGCCGAACCTTTTAAATCTGATCTTGATATCCCCTTCACGCTTCCTTGAGCCCTATTGTATAAGAGGTTGAGTCGACGATACATATTGTTAGCGATGGAGACTGGAACCATCTTAGCGAGAACAAGGGTTTTTACGAATTGTCTTTACGGAATTTCCTTCTTCTTGAAGCTGGGAGAAAAGGGATTTGCGCTAGACTTAATCAAGGGCTTTTTGATAACCAGTTGTCCTAAGTTGCTTTGTAAACTGTTCATTTCTATGGAGGTAATGAGGATTTTCGTCAAACGGTGTCGATTGTTGACTGTGGATAAAGGGGGTGGCTAGTGACATTAAGCAATGCCAATTTTTCGTACAATGACGCGGGCGTTTGAAGGTCCGGGAATCAGGATCAGCATTCAGCATCAACATGTGTCAGCGTGGGGTCGGAGATTCCCCACGCACCCACAACTAAATCTAGAACTTCCATCCTCTGCTATCATCAAGCCTCACACTTCACTTACACTCAAGCGCATACTCAATCGTATACGCAACAGCACACCCAAGAAAACTCCAATTCACTGTCAGCCATGGCCCTGCAAGACAGAGCTGCAGTGCTGAGCTCTACAGCTCTGCGCGTAGCTGCCTACATCTTCCTCAGGTGGATTCCCGGCCATGTATATATACATCCTTTCCCACTTCATCAAATAGCCTCTGCAATTCTGACATCTTTGTAGCATCTTCCTCCCGTAATCTATACCGCATTTGCGTTGTACCTCCCTTTGTTCGTTGCCAGCTTCTTGACCCAGCCCAAATACAATGTGCTGGCCGATGATGTGGATATTACGATTACAGAGACTGAGATCGAGGAGCAGCCACCAGCTCTAGCATCAACTGCTGCACATTCAAAGAATCTGCCAACACGAGAGAAGCCAACGGAGATTGAAGAGGAAATCGAAATCGACGAGGCGATCGTGCTGGGACTAAAGCAGTCGAAACCGTGGAGGACATTGTTAACAGGTCTTCCGGACCCAACATCCACATTACTTTCTCTGGCTACCTTGGCCATCAACGTGGCTTTGGTTTTGGCTGCTACGGACTTGCTATACCGAGCCAAGGTCTACCATCCTGAGAATGGCATGTCGTTTGCTCGAATGGGATATGTCTCTCCTGTTGAGGCAAATCTGTTGATCAGAGAGCCAAAGCAATCCGAGCTACCTATTTTCGTCTCCTATCGGCTTGCGGATCAGACAGGATCGTCTGAAGGTGCTGCGTGGAAAAGTGCCGGAGTGATCACTGCTCTTGGAAACGAAACTGATTATACGGGAGCTGTCCGATTCTCCATCCCAAGTCAGCCGCACCAGACGTATCAGTGGGCCACCTCAAACAATCATACTGGCTTTTTCACTGTCCCTCCAGCTGCCGGAAAGGTCTCCAAGCACGGTGACTTTACATTCTTGACCTCGAGCTGTATTAAGCCTCGCTTCCCTTACAACCCAGCGGACCATGCGTTGGCAATTCCAGGCTTCAAGCATATGGCGAATGTGATCAAATTGATTCCTGGAGGGGCTCAATTTATGCTTTTCCTGGGCGATTTCATCTACATTGATGTTCCTAAGCGCTTCGGGACATCGGTAGAGGACTACAGACGGGAGTACCGCCAAATTTATGGATCTCCAGACTGGCCGAGCGTTGGCCAGAATCTCAGCTGGATCCACGTGCTGGATGACCATGAGATCGCCAATGATTGGGATGGCAATACTACCGGAGTTTACCGGGCAGCAGCAGACCCATGGCACCACTATCAGACAGCCGTCAACCCACCGCGAGCTCGCCAAGCTGGTGGCCTCGGTGTCCCCAGAAGCGATGCGACATACTTCGAGTTTACGCAAGGCCCAGCATCTTTCTTCATGATGGATACTCGTACTTACCGCAACTCCTCGAGCGAGCTTCCGATTAACAGCACAGAAAAATCCATGCTAGGTCCAGACCAACTGCTTGATCTGCTCGCCTTCCTCAAAAAGCCAGAGCCAAAGGGTGTCAAATGGAAGATCATCGCATCCAGCATCCCTTTTACCAAGAACTGGCGTGTCAACGGCCACGATACTTGGGCCGGCTACCTCGACGAGCGACAGAAGATCTTGGAGGCCATGTGGGATGTTGGTCTTCGTGGGGGTGTTGGTGTAGTTGTTTTGTCGGGGGACAGACATGAGTTTGCTGCTACCGCGTTCCCGCCTCCGCCGAATGGGAAGTGGCCAGTTAGTGCAACTGTCAATGAATTCTCGACGAGTCCATTGAGTCAGTTTTATTTGCCTGTGCGGACCTACAAGCAGAAGGATGAGGAGGATGTTTTGGTCAAGTGAGCTATCTTATTCAGCACTCAAATCCAAGCTTGCTAACAATTTTAGGTACATCCCAGATGGCAACTCGAAGCTTGGAGCTGTTACGATCGAGAACACTAGTAGCGATCAGAGTATCCTCAAGTTCAGACTTTACGTTGACGGCGTCGAGACCTGGTCTTCGGTCTTGCTGTCGCCGCCGGCTATTACTGGCAACTGGTGGAGTAAGGATGCCGTTTGGGGTTAGGATTCTGGCTGGTCTAGAATGGAGTGAAATGGGTATAGGAAGCGGGAGTTGGGGACTGTGGGTACGGATATACGGGGGCTTGGGATACCAAATAGGGGTCTTGTAACCAGATATCGGCACATATATCTACACAAATAATGCGTGAATTTTGAATATCCCTTTGCTTTGGTCTTAAATTTTTGCTTCTGCTTTTCATGTCGAACAAATTACGCATTGTAAATGTCTTGTTGTCTTGCTGCTCTTAGGGAAAGAAATAGAGAGAGAGAGATACATACTGCAAGCAGTATCTTCACTGTATATCCACCCGCGCAAATCATCGCATTCCCATCTCCTCTCCAAGCCCTTCTTCATTGTCGATCGACTTCCTACTTTAGCACACACAAAATACACTTTATCTTGACCGAATCTCTCGATTTCTTCTCTGCGGGAAAGCTGCCAGTTTGCTTTTGCTTTTTGTGTGGCTTGGCTATATATATATATATAGTCTTTTTAGTACGGTCCGGTATCTCAGCTATAGTAAGTAGATTTGTGTGCGAGCAGAGCAGAGCAGAGCAGAGCAGAGCAGAGCAGAGCAGAGCAGAGGTGAGGTGAGTCCTTGAGTCCGAACTTGATTGATCTGGATATTGGGCTTGGTATGGGTGTTTTTTGCTGGTTGTGGGATGGGATGGGTGTGGGAGATAGGTGAGCAGGAAGGCTGAATAGAGCGGGATAGGGCATCGCGACCTGGAAGAGAGGAGTGTCAGGTTGGTATCGTGGGTTGAGGATGGATGTGTTTCTTTCTGTCTTCTGGGCAGGGTTTCTTACCTTGGGGTTTTTGCTGATGTTCTGCTCTCTTACCGGAGTCAAGTCCTTGAAGGGTGTGTATGTAGTCCTGACAAGGTCCGGGTGGATGCTGGACTCTGATAAACCTTCCTTGTCTCCGTCTCCTTTACTCCCAAAGAGGTAGGAACTGTAACTGACTAAGCCAATCAATCGTATTGAAAGCAGATCACCTGCTCCCTCTGCTCGCGCCGACTCTCTAGTCTAGTCGGTATTTTGTTTTCGCGCTAGTCCGCTTTCGCGCAGGCAAGGCTGTTTGTTATAACCTCGACGCGTTGATGAGATTTTTCGATTTTTTTTTCTCGCATCGCACAACTTCGACACCTTCACTTGATCTTTTTCTTCAACGCCAGCAGCGTTTGCTTGTGCTTTTAGAATTTTTAATCCTCGGGTACAGACAGATCTTTCTGTACGGATTCTCAAGTACAGATTCTCAAGTGCAGCTCCCCAGGTGCCGATCGATATAACCCTATCGTGAGGCAGAAAGGCTACAGTCGTTGTTAGTTATCTGTTTATTGTTGGCTTACCCGTCGGTGTGTGTCCAGGGAAGACAACTTTGCTGATTGATCGACGCTTGCAGGACCTTCAAGTCACTTTCGATTTTCGATCTCGAACCTGAACACCACCACGTATCAAGAGGTTTGATCTGATAGTCGCGACCATGGATGCCTACACCATACACCATAACAAGAAAGGCTCTATCGTCCTCATCGCCAACAATGGGATTCGCCCTTTCACCGGCACCTCTGAGGCAGTCTTCAACGGCTCCTCCGCGGCAATCCCGCTCGTCAACTCGAGCTCAAGCAGGGGCACCACCGGTGGTCGTTCCGTCTCGTACTTGCCTTCTACAAACAACACTTCCTCGACTTACCCCGTGGGGGGCAACCTAGGCCGGGGCTTTGAGAACGCCGCCTGTTATCCCGAGTTGTGCAACTACAAGAACTATGGAGAGCAAGCCCCGGCATCGCGAACTTGGTCGGCGGCTTCGTCAATCTCGCGCCTCTCTGCTGCTACTCTTCCGTTTGTGCCGGCTAGGTCTGCAACACCACAACCTGCTCTCTCGGCTTCACATGGCTTGTTTGTCCCCGATCCCGCCGTCTCTGGCTACAGCCCAGTTGACTATGTTGCTGGTGCCGCCTATACTGCTGGTGCCTATGCTGCTAGTGTCTACGCTGCTAGCTCCTATCCTGCTGGTTCCTTTGCTATAGGTGCCTATCCTGCTGGCTCTTATGCTGTTGATGCTTATCCTGCTGGTGCCCATCCTGCTGGTGCCCAGCTCAACATTGCTGACCTCTGCCATACTATTGCTAATCGTAATACTTCCCAATGCCCGCCGCAACGTACTCATATAAAGTTTCGTCAGCGTATGAAAAAAAGTGATGACTTTGATCCTCAAGCTCACGATCATGATTTCTTCGGCTTTCTTTATGGACAGGGACAGGAATATTCGCACAAAAATGGAAAAGGAGGCTTGGAAAATGGTGAATGCCAAGGCGTCAAGATTCCCAGTGCCCCGAGGGCTATGCGTGACGGTACTCCTGATCACCACCTCACTGGCCCTGTGAGTGTCCCGAGAACCCATTCCTATTCTTCCCAATTCTCTTGAGAGATATGTCTGCGATCCCCGATCTGAAACAACAATAACTAACCATCTCACCATCTAGGAAGCCGTTGGCTCGGGCGCTTTCGACAATCAACGACCCGGTCATCAACAACCCGTTCAACCCCCTTCTTCCGTTCAGCCCAGCACGATGCATCCTGCTTCACATTTCTTCGCTCGCAAAGATGAAACCCAGAAGGATATCATCATCTCATCTTCGGGTGTGATCTGCAATTCTGTCCGCGTTGTCGAGCAACAAGTTCCGGGTGGTCCTCTCAGACAGATCATCCAAGATGTCTTCAACCCCAGTGTCTATGACTTTGTCACCGAATTCAAGAATTTGAACTCAAAGATCAAGGAAAATCTGTTGGGGAAGAACTGCATCGATATTCAAGTGCACCTGAATGACCCCGAGGAAGATGCTCTTAGGGACGAGAAACTCTTTGCTGCGAAGGGTGCCGGGAAGAAGAAGGCAGAGACCAAGGGCGATGGTCAAGAAAAGGCCGTTTCTTCTGATCTTTTTGGTGTTCAGCCGTTGATCGAAGCTATGGAGCAGGATATTCCGGAGAAGGGTATGTGACCAATCCAGCGAAACTCAAAGTGTAAACGCCTCTTCACATTTCTCAAAACTGACATCTCTCAGTCACTGTTCTTGATGTCTTGCAATCGCTCGGAAGCGGTTTCGTTGAAAACGTCAAGAAACTGACGATTACTCTCATCTTCCCAAATTCAACCGACCCATTCACCGGCCCTGCCTCTTCCATTATCGGTCCAATTCCGCCCGTCGCCTCCTCCAGGACTCTCGGTGGTGTCCCACAAAACACGCCCAACTTCCGCTACTTGACCAAGGTGGTCGATTACTTGCACAACATGAGCAGCCTGACCCTTGTCTCCATCAACCTCCGCGTCTCAGGCCGGAGCAGAATGCCGCTGAGCTTGCTCCAACTCTACCACGTCCTCCCGTTCTACGACCTCGGCTTTACCAACTGGGACATCAAGTACCAGCCCAGCAGCTTGAGCGTCCCGCTGAACGTCCACGGCTGGGCCATCATCCAGCTGGATCGCGAGCGGGATCGGATTATCGCCGAGCGCTTCCGTAGGGCTCGGGAGGCCGTGTCTGCTCGTAAGGGTGCTAGGTCCGGTTCGCTACTCCTGTTTCCTGTTTCCTTTCTTTCCGTAGCGGGTATATTATAGAGGGAATGGTAGACTGACTGATTTTTTTAATAGCAGGTCGCCCCAGCAACATGGCTGCTGCCGCTGGTAACTCAGACGGTCTTTCTGGCATGCTTGCTGCCGGCAACTTGGTTCGCAATCCCAACGTGGCTATCCTGGGAGATCCAATTCTTGATCCCAACACGGCTGTCTCAAAAAACCCATTTTGCGATCCCGATGTGTCATCTGCCAGAAGCTCTATCCGTGATCCCAGCATGGCTCCCGCAGACACCTTCTGTCGCCCACTCGCTCCCCGAGTAAGAAATAGTTAACTGGCAGCCAGCCGCATGGACAGATATGGGAAACCAGCAAGTAAAACCTCTATCTCTCTCTGGTCGTTCAAAGGCTAGATCCCTCCTCTGTTTTACATCACATCTCCCCGTGTCTTTCCGCCATGACACTTGCTTATGCCAGAGAAGACCATCTTTTCTGTTCGTCGCTGTTTGTTGGCGTTCTGCAGGCTTGCGTTTTGTATTGTGCTTCTCCGTCTTTTTTTTCCCTGGCCGCGGGGCTAGGCGGATGGCGAATTTTCTCTTTTCTCTTTCTTTTTGAGACAGAAAGGGAGGGAAGGGGCGGGGGTTGGTGGCCGATTGCTAGATTCGAGTAGATAGATGTCCGTAGGTAGGTAGGACAGATCGATCAATCAATCAGCAATCCTCTTCGCGAGATATCGATGGAGAAAATAAAATAAAATGTGAACGAGGAGAGGAATTGCTTTGGTGTGCTGTGGGTGGGTAAATGATGTGGGTGATGCAGATGGCTGTGATTGTGATGTTGATTATCATGTTGATTAATTTGTATGCATGGGAAGGACCTTTCCTTTCGTTTCTCTTCCTTCTATTTAATTATCGAGATGAGCTGAAAATCTCATATGTTAAATAAGAGGGGTAGAGTCAGCATATTTTCGGCTGAGAGAGAGAGGAGGATGAGTTTTTAGAGATCGATTAGGATAGGATAGTATAGTATAGTAAAGATCGGTTGACATTCACTTGCTTGCGACGTATGAGCAAGAAGGTTAGTTGGGCGTCGGTGCTTCTACTTTTTGTTTTTATCTGCTTTGGGCGAGTATATGGCTACATTAATTTGAGCTATTTTTATGAAAGAAGCTTCAAATCATTAGAATCTACTTTCGTTCATGGTATGGGCAGGATCAAGAGCTGCGAAGTCAACAAATCGACCCCCTCTCTCAAATCACGTGATATATACGTATTTTGTTTCTCCATGGCACAGTTGTAAGAGATACACGATAGAAACCAGACATTTCGTACAGCAGCAACGTCTGAGAGCAGATTGGAATAATACTGGATGCTAGATACCTTTCAGGACAATGGCAACAAAACCTCGCTAAATAAGTGGGACCGGCTCGCCAAAAAATTCTTGCGGCAACCACAAGTAGTGAACCCTACATATCCAGACTCGATGCGGCTCAGCTTCCGACGCCCACGTCTGATATCAAGTCGTATCCGGATCAAAAGCCCTGCCAGACCAGCCTCTCAGCTGCCGCCCAGCATGGCGCCATCGACGCCTCTCCCGTTCTCTTCGGACTTCAGATCCGCAGACGAGTACGTGGACTCCCTCCTCCAGTTTTCTGCGGCCTCGACTATCTTCCAGACCCTCTGTGGAGGTGTCCATATCCTCGATTTCTTCACCCGAGAGCCCAGTCTCTACCACACCGTCATCCCCGCCGAATGGAGGGAGTGGCTACTGGCACGTGACTCGATGAATCTTCTCGATTTCCTCATGCGAGATGATCTGGCAAAGGGCAGGGACGATGACCCGCCCGAGAGCTTGGTCAACTACATCAGGGATATCAGAAAGCACTCGTTGCAGAGGGAAGTTCCGCCCGAGAGGCAGCGGGGGGGGACGAAGTTGCCGCGGCATGTCGCCGTGGGTATGATCCCGAAGAAGATTCACGAGGTCGGCAACTTTGCGGACTACGTTGTCAGAGTTGCGGAGTCTGTGCATGAGAAGACTGGGAAGGGTATCACGCACTATGTCGACTTTGGAAGTGGGCAAAACTACCTCGGACGGACGCTGGCCAGCCCGCCGTACAACAAGCATATTGTTGCGGTGGAGTCCAAGGAGCTCAATATCAACGGCGCGAAAAATATGGACGTGCTGGCAGGGGTCGCTGAGAGGGAGGTGGTGATGCGGAACAAGAAGGTGTATCGGATGGTGCAGGATAGTATGACACCTGCTGAACAGATGAGCGACAAGGCCTTGCGGAGGGTGGCAAAGCCACAGAAAGCACCGCCGATGAATACGGTTGATCTGAGACCCAGCAAGGACTTGGCTACGATATATACCCCTGCTGACGGGAAGGGGTATATCCAGTACGTCGAGCATGTCGTGCAGGATGGGGACCTGTCGGACGTCGTGGAGCAGATTGGGAAGATGAAGATAGCTGCGCCGACCGGACAGCTCCAAGTCGTCAATGCAGATGCCGAGAATCCCAAATTACCCGAGGTCATCGAGGATATCACAAATTCCAAGGACGAGGAGACTCGTCTGATGGCCATCTCTATCCATTCTTGCGGTAATCTCTCTCACCACGGAATCCGCTCACTGTTGCTCAACCCTTCAGTGCACGCTATTGCCATCGTGGGCTGCTGTTACAATCTATTGACAGAACGCCTCGGCCCCCCGACTCTCAAACTTCCCTTGCTTCGTCCAAACCTCCGTGCGATCAATGGGACCGGTCCATTTCAAAAGGCTACATCTTGCGATCCTCATGGGTATCCGATGAGCGAGAAGGTGGCGACCTACAATGGCGATGGCGCACGGCTCAACATCACTGCACGCATGATGGCCGTCCAAGCCCCTTTGAACTGGACCGAGAAGGAAAGCGATGCCTTCTTCACACGGCATTTCTACCGGGCGCTTCTGCAGAAAGTCTTCCTCGACTTTGGTGTCGTCAAAAAGCTACGGGCAAATCAGGAAGATGGCGAACCATCCAACAATCTCGAAAGCACAGAGCCCGTCATCGTGGGCTCTCTCCGCAAAGGCTGCTACGGTTCCTTCAAGTCCTACGTGAGAGGTGCACTCGAGAAGCTGGCGAGCGATCCCGTGCGAGACGGTAAGATCAACGAGCAGATGAGAGGGATCACGGACGAGCAGATTGAAGAGTACGCCGCGAGGTACGGGAAGCTCAAGCGGGAATTGAGCGTCAGCTGGAGTCTGATGGCCTTCAGTGCGGGTGTGGCCGAGAGCCTGATCGTGACGGATCGATGGCTTTGGTTGAAGGAGCAGCAGGGTGTCAGTGATGCGTGGGTCGAGGCCGTCTTTGAATATGGGCTGAGCCCTAGGAATCTCGTCGTGGTCGGGATCAAGGCGTGAAGGGCTGGATAATGCGTCACAACAAATTTCCATCGAAGCAGATCAGGCATGACCAGAGTTCCCACAGCATCAATCGCGTCCAAAATTTACATAAGAAATACGCTAAATTCAAAATAGCAACAATGAATATTGCTGATCTCTTGACGAGTTGGAAAGGGAAGTTCGCTAAATATTAGGTGTATTACAATAGTAAATCTAATGATTGGAGAGCCACTCTTGATTTTTCTGCCGATGCATCTGCCGATGATTCTGCCGACGGCGGTCTGCCATAATTTATCCCCCGGCACCTCCGTAAACACCAGAATAAGCGAGGAGCACGAAAAACCGGACTTCCACTAAAACCTATCAAAAGAATACGTGCGTCGCGGCCAACTTTCTACTTAATAATTAATATCCTTTGCGTTGTATTAGATTAGATCTTTCGTTTTTCGATCTATGGGATGGTTTGTTCCTTTTCTTAAAGGAAATAAAATGAAATAAGGCTGTGATTGCTTAAGATATTCGAAGCAGACGAGTAAGATAGAAGAATTATTTGGGACAGTCTTTTTTTTTTTTTTTTTTTTTAGCTATATTCTCACTACGTGTTGATGTATTAGGTCACCACAGATGAATGCATCTTTGTATTCTTGATTCAGGTTTGTGAAATAAGGTTCTCTGAGCATGTAGAGATTGTTTTTTGGTTCTTGTTTATATTAGTAGTGGTTGTTTGATGGGTGGTGTACCGTTACTGTACCGCCTTGGTGGTGCCGATCTGGCGCGAGGGGGAGAGAGAGGAAGGGAGTGAGTGAGGAAGGGAGTGAGTGGGTGAGAGAGAGAGAGAGAGTGTGTGAGAGTGAGTGAATGAGTAAGTGAGTGAGTGAGTGAGTGAGTGAGTGAGAGTGAGTGGTGTTGGTGTTGATAAAGTTTGGGCTTGGGGGATAATGGGGGCGGTTATGCTTTGTTGAGAAAGAGGAAGGAAGGAAGGAAGGAAGCTATGTTTTTTCTTTTTTTTTTTCTTTTTGAGCCATTTAAAATCGAAGAGAGTGGAGGGTCTGTTGCTGTTATGAGGGGTTCAGGTAAGGGGGAGAAGAAGGAATGTCTTTATGAGATGGTGGGAGGGGGAGGAGGAGGAGGAGGAATATTGATTATTGTTCTAATCGACCTGCAAGCTATCTATCGGTCGGACATATGATCTGCCGTCCTGAGAAAAACCTTCACGTTCCCATGACTTACGGAGATGGATATACTCGGCTGAGCTGAGCAAGGGAGCCAGCTACATTTATATTTATATACTAGAAGTAAGTGCAAGAGAGCAAGGCTTCCTATAGAAGGCAGTTTGAGATCTGTCTGGTATAGCACAGTTATTTGCTCTTTCTATCGACTGAGTGAGCCCCGGGGTGGGAAGCTCAAAGGAGGGGGTTTTCAGTAAAAAAAAAGAATAAAAAAAACCATCGCAATCGGATACGTCAACAGCGAGGTTTCTTTACAATTAGCGGATCTCTCTCGATTCTAGGTGAAGAAGAGGGCTGAGGGTTTCGTCCGGTAAGAGGCTAATGGGAAGAAGGGTAGGCAAGGATTGTTTCTGGAATGGAAGGGTGCTCTTGCTGCTGCTGAGCATGGGGGTTTATCTGAAGGAGGGAGTGGAGGTAGAAGAAGAAGAAGAAGAAGAAGAAGAAGGAAAAGAAGACGGGGTGGAAGAGGAGGGAATCTCGGCTGTGGCTGGCTTACCCAGAGAGTTTTACATACAGTCACCTCTACCGGCTAATGCATATGCTAATGCATATAAATTTTTATTTCGCACCAGAACTCTTTACACTTGACAGCTTAAACTTTCTACAACCGTAATATTTGAAAGGTAAATGAAAATTTTCAAACCTTTTGATGACCAGAAAAATGTCATAGCTCCTGTAAGACGATATTGTTTTATATTATTGTTTAATACAGTTAATTAAAGCAGAAGTATACTATTTATGTCATCTGAAAAAACCGAGTTAAGTTTAAAGGTTCTAATTAACTAAGTACCACGGTACAGGCTTAAGTGATACAGCCCGAGGATGCCTTAAAAGTCTAAATCTCCACTTTAAACCTCCTGGTTACCCTACCCTCAGGATGGAAGACTTACGCCTGTGACGCTCTACTTCCCCAAAGATAGAATTAATGAAGACCGACTCATGTTAATGTTTTTTCCCCGAAGTGATGGCCCTTAGTTTTGGCGCGAAAAGTGGTTTTATGCATTAGCAGTTACCTAGTACTGTACAGATCAGCAGCTGCTTTTAGACACCGACCACTCTTGCTTCATGTGATGATTGGACTAGAACTTGGAGTGGTCTCAACTGAACGTTCGGAAGGGTTGACAGATAAGTACGAGTGAGTTGGAGAATTTGAACTGGGGCCAGGGAGGGATTCGGCACTTTCCCGTTAGAAGTGTGTAGTGAAAGATATGGAGCGTATGGCATTGAATAAACATAATATATATGTATGTATCAAGAGGGAGAGAGAGAGAGAGATCATCATTTGCCTATCTGTACGAGTTACTCATCTGGCAGTGACTGCTTTCAGAGCTGCGCTATTATCTATCTATATCAATTGCCGAGCCAGAATAAACACACCGCGGCAGGAGCAGATTCGAACTTGAGGATTTATTTTCATTAAAGAGACTTGAAAGTGCCACATGCCCGACGAGGTCTGTCCATCAATCAAAATCAACCGATATATATTTTGTCATCTACATCTAGCCCTTTGACAAGATCCCGAGTCTCTGGTCCCTTAGCATACACCAAGACAGCACAACACACCACCGCCAGATCCGTCCACGCCAACTGCACCCGCGATACTCTTCCGTATTCTGCAGACAAAAGCCCTGAGTAAAGATGGCCTGCATCGATAAATCAATCAATCAATCATTCCCAAGCCTACAAGACACCGAAAGAAGCTCCGGTCGATTTCACCAGCGATGTCCACACACATGCATACGCCTTGCACGCCTTCCCTTCCGCTACTAGCATTACGCTTTCTCCTTCTTCTTCTTATCTCCAGCGGCCGAGTACCGGAATCAGCACCGACAATTACTACGTAAGTTGAGTTAACCTACCGTGTTTGCGAGACGCCGAGCGAGGGGTTCCTCAAGCGGTGTGATCGATTGGAAGCGATTTGCAGATATACCTGATCATCGTACCCGGGCTTACCTGTCTACCTACGGAATATGGCCGGGCACGTGGCCGGTCGTCTCGGTCCGTTCGATCAGATGTCCTGCTGATGATGATACCGAGGCGGGTTGGGATGGAAGCGATGTCTGGTATTGAGATGGGGTGGTAGGATAGATGGATGTGAAAAGGAGGAGACGAGCTCAGCTGAGCTGAGATGGCTGGCTGGGTCATGTGAGTGTGTATATGTAATGAGAATACGCAGTGACATATACTGTAGCCGTGTGTACATTATGAGCACCTCTGCACTGAAAGAGATACTACGTACATAGCTACTACTACTCTGTGTACGGACAGGGCTTGGTGCTGGCTGACTCGGCAGTTGTAGTCTTGGATAGGGACAAGTAAACTTCCATCTGTCTTATTAGTATTGATCAAAGGCAAGCTCTGGAGCCTGGTGCCAAAGAGCCGAACTGCAACTACCACAACTACTACTAATCGGGTTACCAAAGTCTCGTGAAAAGTTGTACTTCGTGCCGCAACCTTCCACCTACGAACTGCCGTTGCCCGTTCTTGTATCAGATCTCGCTTAAAAGCGACCCTGGCCACGGACTACCATGTCATACAGAGTAGTAGGGACGTAGTAGTAGTACATTCGGAACGGGCTTCTCGCCAGATACGGGTTGAGACAATCAGGCAAAGTGATGGGCTTCCTTGCCTGCTCTCACAACTGCCGTTTGTCAATCCTTCTTGTCTCGAGATGCAAGTACGAAACATAAATATTCCTGCAATTCAAGGCCCCGGAGGCGCATTCGGATATCGCCGGGCGCAGTTCGGAAGAATATATCCCTGCAAGACCACTCACTCACTATTGACTGGACTAGGCCCTGGCAGTTGAGATTATTGGACCAAGCAATGCAGAGTCGAAGAACGATTGTTCACCGTTATTGCCGTCGTAACATACTTTGGTGGTAGTGCTTACTTAAGGAGTCAGGACGTACGGAAGAGGGGGATCCTCTGTATTGGCGACGCCAACTGCCGCGTATCAGAGTCTGTAATCCAATTATGTGGGTCATCCCCCCCCCCTCTTCCCAACTAAAACTAACTGCCAGATTCGGAAGAGCTTGCGAAGGAGAGAAACCCAAGGCTAGTGAGTGGTACGCGGGTCTGTCAGCGGCCGAAGGTTCCACAGAAAAAGTTTACGTTTTTGCAGCCGCACGCCCTGGGAATCGATCCGAGCTCGATACTTACAGCCAGTCGGTGGGATATCCCAGGGTGTGATCTTCCGGATCCCTGCAGCTTGCCAGCGTTGCCACCCCTTGCAATGCAATCGCACTTTGGGTGCGCTGTGCCGCGTGCAAAATTGGGTGGATATGCTGCTCCAGAGATCCCATGTGCCCATGCATGGTTTGGACAAGGGTCAGGGCGCGAACTCCTTCGTGACTCGAGAGGAATCGGTACGTGTACTAGTAGTAGTACTGTACTTACTAGTAGCAGTAGCAGTAGCAGTAGCAGTAGCAGTAGCAGTAGCAGTAGCAGTAGCAGTAACAGTAGCAGTAGCAGTAGCAGCAGCAGCAGCAGCAGCAGTAGTAGTAGTAGTAGTAGTAGTAGTAGTAGTAGTAGTAGTAGTAGTAGTAGTAGTAGTAGTAGTAGTAGTAGTAGTATTAGTAGTAGTGGTAAAAAATAGTAGTTGTATTATTAGTAGTGGTAGAAGAAGTATGCCGTAGCATCATGAGACCCCGGCAGCGATAGCCCTTTTGAATCCGTTTCGCTTTTTCTTTTTGCGTTTGAGCTTTCAGGAGCAGTGGACGTGGATTGAGCATGATCGTAGAACCACTTCCTATAAATGGCTTGAGGGGTCAGGAGAAGGAACTGTTCAGTCATCCTCCACTTCAAGCGGACGGAAGGGTCACCGAGCCTTTCCTGAGCCGACAATGGCATGTTAAGCGGATGCATCTGGGGTTCACGCTCTTGGACTTTCCTTTTTCAAGAGGTGATGGATTCTTCGTGTCGACATGTACATGTAATCATCCAGCCTGTCCCAGCTCGCCGGGCCTTCACATGGAGCGTCGAGAGTCGAGAGATATAGCGGGTGGTATTGAGCCTGATTCGAGTCCATTCTCAATGTTTCCTCTAGCCGCACGTTCGTTGTTTGGATCTTTGTGATGTCGCCTTGATGTTGCGAAGCCCTCATCATTATTTTGAGCTAAGAATTAGCTCCTCGCTTAAAGAGCACTTTCATCCATATTTGCCTTGCCGAGTTTCAAGGCACTAAAATCAAAGTCACATGAACTTGATCCTATCACCAACATGCGGGCTACAGATGCCATTGCGCCTCGCTCGAGAGCCGTACGGACATGTACAACTACTAAGTATTTGGTAAACCGTCTGCAGCCACAGCGCGCAAAGTGCACAAAAAGCCGAAGAGGGTGAAGACGCCATCGTCGCACCGCCCACGAATCACGGCACAGCTGACGACGACCCTTCCATACTCGGTTCCTAGAGAGCGTAGCCAACTGTTGGGCGCTCCATTTTGAGTGTATTTCTTCGCATGGGGCGATACTGCTATGACTACGGAGTGTTTGAGCCTCCGGTTTCGCGGCTTGAAGTCAGAAGAGAAACCCGTTGATCAGCGCCCGTCCTTGCCCTCTTGCGGTCAAAACAGACGAGAGATGTTCAGAAGCTCCCTCTGCCGGTGGTCGAGCCATTCCCACTTCTTTCAGAACCCTCTGTGCCGTGCTGTTGCACGACGACCGCTTGCTGCGAAATCTACACTCCGTTACGTCCGCCAGAGATGATGGATCCAAGCGACTACAGAGTAACAAGTTGAATATCAATACCGGTATGTGAATGCAGTTGGCCATGGCAGCTCCCCCCATTTGGGAAAAAGTTCGACGAATTCCACTTCTCCAACATGGGAGGTCCGTCTTAATTACCGTTTCGTCGGTAGTGAAATTGCGGGTGCGTACAGCGTTGCATTTATACGCCTATTCTTAGCACCTGGTGCATCGCTAGGCCGCCTGCATTCACTCGATATATATCTTGGCGAGATGCCAACTTGGGGCAGGTTCGTAAGATAGCCTATTACGAATCTACGATACGTCCCAGCAGCGAGACGATGAATATTCTGCGCGGTGCCGTCCACGGTGGGATTTGGTCGGGTTCTGGTTCTGGTACTGTACACTCCGCAGATGATGTTATAGGATACAACTTCTAGCATGAAGAGTGACCGCTTCAGTCCCGGGAAAGCAATCCAGCGTTGGTGGCACTGCAGGCTAAAGTCAAGTCTCCGTATGCTGCCCAGTGTTCCTACCCAGACCCTGTCGCTGGTTCAGTGGGCAGCTCGCCAGTAGTGGTCACATACTACGTAGTACTACTACTACGTACGGTATACATACAAGCGCGGGGGATCAATAATCCTACAAGCAGATCTACTTAGCAAGTACGGAAAGGGAAGGTCTCCGGAAGCAGCTGCAGAGCAAAACGATGATGGCAACTGTCAGTCTGGCATCAAGGAGACTTTAAGCTGAGCCAGCCATCGGGGTGGTGTTTTGAAAGGAGCCTTGGCCGACTGAGCCAATTCTGCAGGAAACCAACTCATTGCAGCAGGTGCCCAATCCGAGCCGTTCCACTCGAATCACGAGCTCTCCTCAGCACAGCGTTGTGGGAGATGATTGGAAGGTTGTTTGTTTTACAAGTACTACTACAACTACAACGGCATCTGCTCTTGTACGGAAACGCTCTATCGGACGGTACTTCGACTTCTCCTGGATTCTTCGGTTCAAAAGGTTCCGTCGGTATGATCTTTCACCGCGGCGTGGTAACCCCAACCACCGCGACCCCTCGCCATCCTGGATTCATTTAATCATTTCGGATTGCAAGCAGGGCTCCCATGCCCGCGCGCTTATCGTTCCTGCAGCTATCTCTACTCCACAGGAAGGAAATCTGAAGGGTCGGGACTTGATGGCGACCCTGGTCCGGTATTCGCGGTCGTGAACGGCATATGGAAAAGATGGCTGTCCTGGCACGGGCAGACCTGCATACCGTACATACCGATTCTTGCATGTCATGCCAATCCGTGGACCTGTTTTGTTTCGGCATCAGCGTGCGTGCCGAACGATGATTGCGACGAGGTGCTTTCGTACGGACAGCAAACAAAACACACGACAGGCGAAAGGAGCTGGGGCCCCAAAGTCCCCCTCATTTCTTTTCCTAATGGGGTAAGGGATGCGAAAAAAGCTACGGCCCGTCTGCGGCACCTGGCACCGATGCCAGATGGGGATGGAGGTTGTTGTTTGGTTTCTGGGCCGATCCTACGAACCCAAGCTTGGGTCTGTGATCGTATGATTTTGAATTTATCGTTTGAAAATATTCCGAGTAAACTTTGGAGGACCTTCCTTTCATCAAAGAGTCAAGACGCCGCTTCCGCGATACGCCCTATCGATTTACTTTATCGACCCCAGTCCTACCCACTATTATATATGCCGCTTGATAAGGTAAAAGTGTAATACTACAGTACGTGCAACAACAACTAACGATACTACTACAGTAGTACTACTAGTTGGAGAGAGGACCTCCTCGATAATCAGGACAGGCCGGGCAAAAGCAAATCGACAATTTTACATGACGAAGAGAAGATTCACAGCCTTTCGCAATACTGTACTATGTACTGGACAATGCGTACAGATCTCGAAGGCGGCTGCTCATCAGTCTAAGCGAGTCGTTGCTTTACCGTACTGTCTGTAGCTGTACTGTACCGTACCGTACCGTACCGACCTCGCACGGGTTGCTCTCTCTCCTGGATCCGACATTCTGGTTCATCATGCCTTGGGCGCTTTTCTCAGGGCGTCGATCTTCCCCGGCCCGCTAAGCCTCTGAACTAATCACTATGACACACGAGAGCGGGGTCCAGCGGCCAAGATGATGGAGATCTGCAGCTTCGCAGAATCACACCACAAGTGGATTAGCCCGCTCGGACGCAGGCCTGGATGGATCCAGCATGGCGGGCTGTCAGCTACGGAGGTGGCGAGACAGGGAGTACTGGGTGGTGTGGACTACGGGGAGAGGGCCTGTGCCGTGCCGTGATGTCCCAGGAAAACCCTCGACACGACCTCGTGGCGGGAGCTATTATTATACCTAGTCACTTTTTCGCTATAACGCCCTGGCTGTTAAGTATTGATGCTCTCGCTTAGAGCACGGTATCCGTCTCAGGGTCCCTGGGGAAGGAGGAAAGTATGGTACGTACTACGTAGTACTACTACTACTACTACTACGTACTTCCTACTAGTACAGGCTGGGCCGACGGCCATCTCAACCCCATCTTTTACCGTGTATTGGATAGATCTTGCGCTTGCTTCTACTTCTACCTCGATGACGACGACGCCAGACTCTCTGTCAGACAAGCGGGATCTCGCAGTTCCACCCTTGGAATGGGAAGGTCACAATGCCAAGATTCCAGGCTAGGATTGCTTGACTCGCTAGACTCGCTTGAGCACCCAGGTGGAAAACAAAGTTGAAAATACTAATTGAAGTTTCACCGAACCAGTCGGCAAGATTCTTCTATTCACGAATACCGGTTATCTACCTGTCCGGAGGTCGGAGGTAGCACTAAGCAGAGAATTACTTTGTAGAAGTACCGTATGTCTGCAAGGTGGGAGCCTGTCAGATTTCGCCAGATTCAAGTCAGCGAGCGGCTACCGTACCGGTCGGTACTTGACCTGCACTCGAGGACAAGATCAGCGGTACTACTTCCCGACCGTGGTGGACGCGTGGACGGGTGGTGGGTGGTAGGGCGTCGGGGGCTCTCTCGGTCCAAGGAGAGCGCTGTGGCGTTGCTCTTTCTCGACATTCTCTTTTCAGATTCGGACTGGGATGAGGAAGGAAAAGCATGACTTCTCTGCTCACCTGCACCCATGCCACTGCTGGAAAAGATAGCGTCTTTGGGCTACTTCAGTCGTGACGGCTACCATCATACTACTAAGGAGCAGCAACCGGATCTTCGTGACTCGATACGAAGCGCCCGGGCAAGCTGCCACAGTACGTACGACACGTACATACAGTACTAACTACGGCAGAAGATTACAGTAGTATACTCCTGTACTAGTTGTACGTAGTATGATCGATCTTCTAGCAGCCGACGGGTGCTAAGATTCTACGGATAGAGCAGCGCAAGCACTACCCGAATCGTGCTAGCGGTGGCTCAAACGCTACGGTCCAAAAGGCTACGGCAGCGAAGCTACTCCTCCGTAAGGACACTTATCACAGATTTCCAGGATAGCGAACGAGCGCTATGCCCGAAGCTTACCTTCCTCCGCCGCGTGACAAGGTGGCGGCACCGAGCTGGCCCGTCACGAAGTGCCGTTCAGCCCGCTGACTCCTGGGCGGCGTCGACTTCCCCATATTTTAGTATCTGGACAACAATAAATACTAGTAGTATCTCGACCCGACGGACTCAGAAGGAAAGGGTGAACTCACGATTAATTAATTACAGTTCAGTATCGTTGGTAGCAGAGAAGCTTTGTGCATCTCGAACCCGGGCCGCAGCGTGACCGTTCCTTCGCCGGGTCTGGCATAGCTTGCGAATCGGTCACTGCAGTTACCCCACAAGTCTGTCGCGGATGGATTCCGTGGATGGGATGGCCATGGAATCAATCCATGGATCAGCCATCCAGGCCCGTTCCCCGTGCCCTGTCAGTTGTGTAGAGTTGAGTTCCGTACGGAGCTTCGAAGGAGGAAGAGAAGTATGGTAAACTACTACGACTAAGTAGGAGTCGAAGTAAGAAGAGGCGAAGTACTACTACGCAAGTACTAAACCAAGAAGTACGGCGTGTCAGGCAAGTACTAGTAGTAGTATATCTTCACTTGTTTAGAGCTCGATTTCGTACCGGGGGAGTACAGTAAAGTACAGGTCTACCAAGCTCAACCTCGCCGGCGGATGTCTGTGGCCATGCGTATCTGTTTTCACATACCGGATTGCTTGCTCACTCTGCCCCTTTTACGGAGGAGGCCGCAACGACATACTTCTTCCACCTACAGATGTTACCCCTCCAGGCTTAGACCGTGTCGTCCATGTCGATACTTCTACTAGTACGGACTCGTGGATCCCTTGTCAGAGTACCAGCCGGTAGCCCCATCCAAGTGCCAACCCAACGCCTGGTCGGATCGGATCATCTCACTCCTCTCGCCCCTCGATCTCTAACTTTCCTGCTAAGGTCGGCTCTTCTTTAGCACGGCGGATCCCTCTTGGTAAACTATCTCACGTCTCTCGCTCCATTTACTCTTAGATCTGACCTAGGCGCCTAACAAAACAACAAGACTCCCCTGACTAAGACCTCTTCTCACTTCACCACCGGCTTTCAAAGTTCCCTCAACATTCCTTGCTCGCTGTGCCGCACTGCTTCGTTCCAAGGTAGAAAGAAGTATTCATTCCACTGCACCCAACCCAGACATCCCTGGGATAGCTGCCCGTTCTGAAACGCCTGCATTATTTTGGCGACCCGTCTCGAGAACCAGACAGACAGACTACTCCTTGCACCGTTCCCAGGTGAATGAGTGTGTCTAAACTGGTAGCCACAGCATGAGCCTCAGGTTCATTCACTCCAGTACCGACAGACTTTCGACTTTTACCATTACATCTTTTGGGACCACCAACGTTTTGCGAATAGAGGCAGCCGGCACCGACCTCTGAGAATTCACAAAGCACACCCTTCTTCAGCATTACCGTGTGGATAGGGACTGACAGCATTTCGTTGCGACTGCCGTCTCTGAACCATTTGCCTCGTCGGGCCTCAGCTGAACTGAGTCCGACCGGTTGATTCACGAAGCAACCTTTGCCGTCTTAGGATAGCCGGCCTGGAACCTATCTGTGCCATAGTGGTACATCACTCCGAGAAAACGCCATTGTGTTGACGTTAGAGAGCGTCAACTGGAATAGGAATCATCCAGCCAGCTCCAAACATGACCCAGATATACACAAGGGCGCCCGTCCCTTCTCTTCATGAGCAGCCGTCGGTCTACTTCCAACAGGAACAACACATGTCCAGAGACTCTCGACACTCTAGCATCAGCTCTTCGCAATACTTTGACAGGCGGCCAGAAGGGAACGCTTGGAGGTCATCACAGCCTGTCTCGCCGATGTCTAGCTCTCAGAAAAGTGTTTACGACGTGTCGACCAAGAAAGCGGGAGGAATGTATCAGACACGTCCAGAGACTACGCAGAAGCCTACTAGAGAGCAACTTCCTTCTCTGAGCAGTTTGTTCGCGACATCATCGCATCCTCCCATTCCCACATCTTCGTACTCGGAACGGAGTCCAGTATTTTCAGCAGGATCTCCCCTCGATGCGCGGGCGCCCGCAACACCTGTTCACCCAGACCGCTCATATGACGCATCATACTTCCAGCGGCCATCTGTGGGCGGCCAGTACTCGTATAACTCGAAAGCAGAGCAGGCTGAAAGACTTGCGATCCCACCGCCACGACCTTCTCAGCACGGTGCCAGACCTGGATCACCTCGATATGACTCGAGGTATACCCCGATTGAAGTATCCCGCTCTCACGTGCATGCTCCCCTCAGCGCCTGGTCTTCTCACCCTCAGTCCAACAAGCCAGAATATCTATCCAGAGATAATTCATCATTTCGCCCTCATCAAGACATCCGCCAGCCTGCTCCGTTAAACCGAGCCGAGGCAGATTCAACAACATTTTATCGCGAGGGGCAGCATGGTACACCAGCGACTGCAAGCTATCCAGCCACACCCGTCAGCAACGTTGCGGGAGACCCTCTGACAACGAAAGATGGACTGGGCCCCAAGATTTGGACCGGAACTCAGTTCCTGCCTCGTTTTGTGCGGCAGGCGGAAGTACCAGGGGAGGGAATGTGTTACTTCTACGACGATGGAACGCATTGCAAGACCGTGATCGACGGGGAGATTGTCAACGCGCACTGGGGCGTCACGAAGGCTGGCAAGCCAAGAAAGAGGCTGGCAATCGCCTGCATTACTTGTAGGGAAAAGAAGATCAAATGCGACCCCGATTACCCGCGTTGTGTCCAATGCGAAAAGTTTGGGCGGATTTGCAAATTTCAGAATGCGTATGTGGACCCTCTTCCACTCTTGGTTCCGTCGCTAACCCAACAAATGTGCAGCCCCCGAGGTGGTCATGGATCTCCAGACACCCCGCCATCCGATCATGAAGACGAGCTCCCGACTTCGTCGCGACCAGAGCAGGAAAACTTCCGGGTTGAGAAGCGTGAGAATAGCGATTCTCTCTCTCCTCGCCAGGTACGCCACGCCACACCAGAATCTGAAATGCATCCCTCCAAGCGTCGGCGAACAGGATATCACGACTTAACCCCCGTCACATCTGAAGCTTCCCCCCGCCCGTCCTTCCAAGACCCGGCATCTCCGACGTCCTCCTGGGCAGAGCCTGTGAGCCCTGGAGGACTCGACCAGGCCGTCCTCAGAAGAGAATGGCACTCGAATCCCGTGAACACACAACCTGCGCTTGTCGCAGAGCTCCTTTCAGTCTTCTTCAGGCAAGTTCCGGAGACTGTTTCTTGTATGTTTCCCCAGCGACCCTTCAAAGCCTGGTTCTTGTCGAATGCAGATAAGTCTCCCGAAGATTTGATGCTTGTCTATACTATTTTGGCGCTGGGAACCATCTTCTCCCAGAATGCTGAGCACAAGCCCCTCGGTGCCAAATTTGCGGCCGTCTCTCGCCTTGCGTGCGAGAACAGCCGATTCAGCATTCAGCTGGTCCAGTCGCGAGTTCTCCTTGCGCTATACTACTTTGCGAACAACCACGCCGAAGAGTCGTGGGACTATTGTGGAGCTGCGTTGAGAGCCGCAAGCGGGCTGAAGTTGAACCTCGAGCTGGAAAAGACCGACGACGACTACCGTCAGACTTTTCCGTACGGCCTCAACAGTGCCGGCTTTGCGGAGTGCAGGAGAAGGACTTTCTGGAGCTGCTACCTGATGGATCGGTTCAACGGCTCCTGCACTGGTCACCTCAGCGTCATCCAACCCGAGGACGTTTTCCTCCGACTCCCTTGCGACAGCAACAGCTTTGAATCTCAGGTTGATGTCCAGAATCCATTCTTTGATGTTACAACACCTTCCGTCCAAAATTTCAACTGGACGATCGGGCCCATGGCATACCTGATCAACGTCGCTACCATCTGGGGGGATGTAATGGCAAGCATCTACCGAACCTCACAGCGATCTCACCACGCGACGTCCCAATCCAACTTCGCGCCGGTCTACGAGAACGCGACACTTCGATTACGCACGTGGAAAGACTCCCTACCAGCCTGCTACACATTCTCGACGGAGAACCTCGCTAGGGCCGCAAACGGGGGCAAGCTGGGAACCTTTATCACGATGCACACCGTATACCACACCACGGCCATGAAGCTGAACCGCTACGTCCAACAGTACATCCTCTCCCAGGCGCAGCTGGCCCACCACGTCGCCGTCGCCAAGCAACACGCCGAGGACCTCCTCAAGATCATGGACACCCTAGCCATCTGCCGCGCCTCCTCGGCCTCCTTCGGCCCCATCGACACCCACACGCGCTTCTCCTCCCCCTTCGTCGGCTACGGCATCATCTCCGCCGTCGACATCCTCACGGCCAAGACGGCCGCCCCGGCCGCCATCCCCAGCCGCCTGGCCTCCCTCCGCGGCTCGCAGGCCATCCTGGCCGAGCTGGCCCTGTTCTGGCACAGCTCCAAGAATCAACAGGCTCTAGTGCAGCAACGCGTGGCCGACCTGGACGATCTGGCACGCGCTCGTGGCGAGGCCGGTGGAGCACGAGCAGGTGTCGGAGGCCGAGGGATCGATCACCACCTCGCGTCGATCTTTCGGGAGACGGCTGATGGGGGCTTTGAGATGAGGGAGGCGATGGAGAAGACTTTTTCGCGCGATCACGATTGCATTTATGCTTGGAGTAATTAATTAATCGAGGGGGGAGGGGGGGGGGGGGGGGGGGGGGAGGAGCCGAGTTAGGCTTGGCCTGGTTGGCGTTGTCCACGAGGACAGGTTTTTTTATTCTCTACGATACCCGGCGTTCACTGATGAGAGAAAAGAAGAGAGAGAGAGAGAGAGAGAGAGAGAGG